TGTGGTGAGTCGTCATTTTCATGCACTTTGAATTTGCGTTGTATCGTATTTTGAAGGCATTAAACATTACCAGAGCGATAAGAGTGTTGCGACCAGATTAGACGCTCCTTGTGTTTATTATTATATTTCGAAAACACCACAGTTTTCATGCAGCTCATACCATATTATTTTGTTGTATTAATTCGCCACACCTTAAATGCCGGTCCCTGAAAATATTGTCTGACTTAAACCGGTCCGTGGGACAAAAAAGGTTGGGGACCCCTGCAATAGAGCATCTTTGGGATGTGGTGGAACGGGAGATTCGCATCATGGATGTGCAGCCGGCAAATCTGCGCCAGCTGTGTGATGCCATCATGTCAATATGGACCAAACTCTCTGCGGAATGCTTCCAGCACCTTGTTGAATCTATACCACGAAGAATTGAGGCAGTTCTGAAGGCAAAAGGAGGTCCAACCCGTTACTAGCATGGTGTACCTAATAAAGTGACCGGTGAGGGTATTTTTTTAAGCTCAATAAAAGTCCAATACAATTCGCTGCAGTGAGAGCGGAGAGGGGAGTTGTGAGTCTTTTGGTTATTTGCGCAGTAGGGCCCCCCCGTTCGGATCTCCGTCTTTCCGAATGCGCACTGGTTCACTTTGCCCGATTGGGAAATTAGATCGTTGTTCAAATACTGAATATGTCATTCAGAGTGCCCCAAAAATGACGCCGACTCGGCACAAGGCGCGCCAGTGCTGGCTGCGTTCGTAAATTAATGAGAGGGGAGCGCACGTTGTCTCTCTGAGCACACCCACTCTGGGAGTAATGCACGGGTGCCAGAGTGAATTTCCCACGGCGTCTCAGGTTCGAAAGCCAGCTTGCACAGTTCATATCAGCAATGGATCGCTTTGTATTTAATAATAACGACAGAGTATAAATCTCTACCTTCGGGCAAATTCCGATCTTACATTGAAGACACTTTTCTACTGTGCACCACGAGTGTGTATTATATTTCCATCCATTTTCTAATCCGCTTTATCCTCACGAGGGTCCCGGGCATGCTGGAGCCTATCCCAGCTTTCTTTGGGCTGTAGGCAGGGGACACCCTGAACCGGTTGCCAGCCAATCGCAGAGCACACAGAGACGAACAACCATCCGCGTTCACACTCACAACTTAGGGACAATTTCGAGTGTTATATTAACCTGCCACCCATGTTTTTGGAATTTGGGAAGAAACCGGAGTACCCTGAAAAAAATCCACGCAGGCACGGGGAGAACATGCAAACTCCACCCAAGAAGGCCAGAGCCGGAATTGAACCCTGCACCTCTGCACTGTGAGGTGGACGTGCTAACCAGTCGTCCATCGCGTCGCCGCGCATGATTCTTAAATTTTAAAAACAAGAGGACCTCTCAAGAAAGTGAAGACATGAAAAGTGAGTTTTAGCCGCTGACCTTGTTATTGGAATCTCTAAAACTATAGAAATGAATAAACAAATGAACTTACTTCCAAATCAGTCTCTGACATGTCCCCACTGTCAAGAAAACAAAAGCTCAGTTAACACATTCAATTTATACACTAAACACATGATTTGTGGATATCAGGCTGAGACCTGTTGAGGCCCACTCGATCGATGATGGACAGCTCGTTCCAGTTACTTGGGGGTGGCTCCTCCCGACTGCTTTCTGTCATTCAAAAGACTTGATTACCGGTACAATTTGTGTGTTTTCGGTGCAACACTTATTGATGACAGCCCAAGATAATCAACATCAGTGTTGTCTTTGTCCTACTTGGGCAAATTTATCCATCCATGACCTTAACGGCTTAACCTCAGGAGGGTCGCGGGGATGCTGGAGTAACATTGTAATTATTGTTCACTTCTACCTTTTTTTCATCATCTAAGTGTCAATCTTGATTACTGGTTATGCATTTTTTAAATAAGCAGAATGATTGTACACAGCCTACAGGCAGCTTGTCCGCTGGTGCTGTCAGTTCCTTTTTCAGGAATATGAAATTTTGGCCAGTTTTTGCACATTTACATTACTTTTGTCCACTTGCTGCTTCAAACTTGGACTGCACCATCTCAAGACTCGGGACAAAACAGGGAGAGAAATCTGGAGTTTTTGAAAACCTACATGACAGGGGTAGGCCATCAAATTTTGTGTTTCATGTTTCTTTCACCACAAAATAGGAACTGCTAAATAATGCCCCTACAGGTGCTATAAAAATAAAAAAATCCCAAACTATGGCTTGCCGTTTGAAAAGTATCTCACCTTGAAATTCATATTATTGTCATGTTTAGCTTCAGACAATGTTTACAAATCTGGTGTGAAATTTTGAGTCACAATTTTGCACATTTATGACAGTCAACAGCATTTGTCAACCAAGAAATACAGTAAATTATGTAATTGAATACAATTACAAAATACAGTAGTATATTTAGAATCTGAACATAAACTAAACTTTTAGATACCAAACATAAATCTCGGGTTCGATCCCGCCTACGGCCTTCCTGTGTGGAGTTTGCATGTTCTCCCCGCCTGTGTAGGTTTTCTCCGGGTACTCCCGTTTCCTCCCACATTCCAAAAACATGCATGGCTCAAAATTGTCCCTAGGTGTGAGTGTGAGCGCGGATGGTTGTTCGTCTGTGTGCCCTGCTATTGGCTGGCAACCAGTTCCGAGTGTACCTGCCTCCTGCCGGTGTACAGCTGGGATAGGCTCCAGCACCCCCGCAACCATTGTGAGGATGTGCTTTGGATTTAAAATAATAACCTATTCACTTCAGGCAACCAGTCCTAGGGATAGAGCATTCTATCTCAGGAGTGCACCCAGAAACATTATGAAATCTTTCATTTTAAACATTACTCCTTTAAAAATCATATAAAACTCAAAATGTGCTCTCTCGTACCCAGACCAAGTCTTGGGTACACCAGACGCCACAAGGAACCAAAAAAAGTATGAAGTGTAAAAGAAACCTACCTGAATCGCTGTCGTCGTCATTATGAAAAGATGCCTGGCAGCCATTGGTCGCCACATCCAGCTGAAAGACAACCGAGCCTCTGCACGTGCGGAATTTTGGTGAATGTTTCGCTGTCGTTGACTCACCTGAGGGCGCTCGACTGAATGGACGGAGGCCATCTCAAACCGCTCCATTTTCTCACTCAGTTGAACGCAAATCCTGAGCACAAGCTCATAGCTATTTTATGGTGGCTGCTTCGCGTATGGACTCGCTCTGTGCCGTACTGAGAATAGGTAATCCCATTATGAGATCCACAGTCAAGGCAGAAGAGGACAAGTCGCTTTGCACCTCCTCCTTGCCATGTTTGTCTACAGCAAACAAAAGTTGACAGTTCTCAAGTTGACATCACACCTAATTTGGAACTTTAAATTTCTAACACTAACACTTGTGTTAACATGACGGAAGAAGATTGATCCGGCAGGTTTACGACCAACAACGCGACTCATTGAATGATCGTGTTTCAGCTCGGTAAAATGAGCACTACACACCAACATGATTGGAAAGTCCACATTTTTATTTTTGAAAGAACAGCTCATCTTTTAGTAGAGGCGCTGGGGCTTTCCCATGGTGCTCTTGACATACAGGGCACGCACGTTTTGCCAGTTCTTCTTCAGCAGCGACACTAAGAAGTTGACGGCAAGGTGGATGTTGTACACCAGCTCGTCCTCGGTCATCTTCACGTGTCCGACGGCCACAGCCAGGCAGAGGACCTGAGGCGCACCAACGTAGGATGAAGTGCTGCGAGAAGCCGCCACGTAAGACGTTTGTGGCTCATTTTACCTTCTTCATCTGGAACTTGATGGTGGATTTGACCTCGTCCACTTTGGTGTTTAGATTCTCATTGTGGGTGAGCAGCGAGGGGAACTTGCCGGCCTTGTTGAGCCCAGGGCCCAGGATACGAGGGATCTGCTTGATCAGAGACTCGGAGGCCAGGAATGCATCATACTTCTTGGCTGGAAGAGGCGCAAATGGTCAAGATCCCAGGGAGACGCAAAACATTTAGCGGTGCAAGCTATGAATGAGTCCTCACCAAGTTTTTTAACCAGCTTCTTATTCTTGTTGAGCTTTTTGAGTGCCTCCACATCCATGTGTGGAAGGTTGGCGGCTTTGGCCTCATCGCAATGCTGCTGGTCTCCCAAAAGGCAGACTGAGAACTTTGGCCTGGGAAGAGTCTTCAGCCTACACATTAAGAGTCACAAGTCACAATTGGAGAACTGCAACAGCACTGCATCAGGGTTCACTCCATCTTGTAACTCTTTTATTCTCCCAATATGTATTTAAAAGAAAAGGTAAACACTCCACTTTACTTGCTCAAAAATGATGGGTGCTGGCAACCTTATGTTACTTGCTATCCATCACTTCTGGAAATAATTTAAGATTGGCTTTATCGGTCAACACTGCCACTACTCAGAGAATACACAAGGTTCTATCCAATTCACAACTTTAACATTTTCAATGTTAAAAGTCTTACCATACCGCCATTATGCCAGGAGTCTTCATTCATAATATAGCGAACATTGGTCGGCTAGAAGGCCGTGAGCTAAAAAAAAAAACCCTAGCTCAGCCCATCAAAGCCTCCCCTCATGTTTTAAGACCCAGGGTAGGGGTCCGCCTGCCGAGGCTGGATCAGCTCAGGCAGACTACCCAAAGTACTTCTCCATGCCAGCGCCTGGCCTGTCAGACTTAAAAAAAGGGTCTATACACTACCACCTTAGTGCTTTAGCCAACATTCCGACAAGAGCCAGACGCAAACACGGACAAGTTTGGGTGAGTCAGTAAATGTTCCAACCTGACGGTGCCAGAGAAACGCTTGTCCTTCTGGGGATCATAATTTTTCAGGCTGATCTGCAGCTCCACAGTCTCCACAAACCTAACAAAGCAACACGCGCACATTAGCCATGTTGAAGAGTCATCGGCAAAGACAAATGATGCTCTGAAAACTTACTTCCTCTTTTTAGTTTTTGAGCCCGTCAAGACTTCTCTCACGGCTTCATACAAGGTGTCTCTGGAAACCTTACTATGACACAAATTAGCAGAGTTAACCATAAATTATGGGAGATACTCAGATTCGTTGCACCTTCTGCCATCTGATGAAAGTGCATTTAATTAGGCTGCCTTTCACTTATCACTGCTAGTGTACAGATGAACAAAGTATAAACGGCTCAGAATTGAAGTGTATATGGATAACGTCCCACTGCACTTATGACACTCATGGCACACAAGAGAGCCAAAAAAAAAGAGATGTGGAAACGCAACCTTCTGTAAGGAAATTTCTGCATTAGTTATGAGTTTAAAATCATCATCATTCACACATGCATGCAGATTAGGATTACAAGAATAATGACTCGAGATTGATTAGATGCGTTTCTTTAATTCCGTGGGAGACAATGCTCTCCATTTGATTAAGATGCTACATAATAAAACTATCCTTGATAAGAGTATTAATAGTAGCTAAATGGACGATACAAACACAAATTGGCTGTCTTCCTACATGTTAAAATTTCATTTTGAAAAAACACCATATACGGGATCAGAATTTACCCTTTTATTGATTTCAGAATCATATAGATTATTTATCGTTGTTTGTAGTCGTTGCATTTTTCTAATTGTGCTTTCACCGTTGACTTGAAATTGAAAAACTTAGCTCGTCAAGAGCTTCAAACCAGTCGCACAGAAACACACAAACTGCACTTATATAGTCAAAAAAGTGATGGCTAACAATTGTTCCATGATTTAGACGCCAAATAGTAATCTTAAATGTGTCGGATGACAATGGATGCACGAGGATTAGATCTTGAAACGTAACTTCGTGCAGCGCAACGATGAAGTGCTTGTGTCCCCAGGACGGTCAACGAGGTGCCATGATCACACGAAATGATCGAACGTTTCACATAGTATTCATTTAGGTAGAATAATGATAGACGGTTAAATACGAGTCGAAACCTTATTTCAATGTCATGAATTTATTGAAAGAGACGGTACCTCATTTTAGCGGCTTTTCCCTCTGGCCTCGCTACGCTAGAAAGGAAGTGCTGGGGGAAGTTGCGTCAAATAAAAGCTGCCGGAGTTACGTCATTATTAAACGCCTGAAACGGAGTTTCAAGGGGCTCGGTTATGAGGTATTTTTAATATTAGTCTTTAAATCTTTTCTATTCTCCTATTCTATTTTTTTTCACCAAATAAATAGAATACATTAGTATTATTTCAGATTTATGTATTAAATAATGATACAATATTTTTGTTCTGATGCGTTTTCTTTTTTGTGCAAAAAGAAAAACAACACAAATACAATAAAATAAAACTCAATACGATGATTAAAACAACTTTAGTTGTCAAAACAAGAAATTCTGCAACAACATACAGTCAAATATATTGGTGATAAGTGACGTGATGTACTTTTGCAAGTGCAGCAAAGGATACAGCACACAACCATCAACAAAAAAGTGAAGATTACGCTATCTACAGTACATGCAATTACAATAGTTTGGTATATAGCAATATAAACATAAATAACTCTATCTATCGATGTTATTATGCATCTGGGATTCTTTTCAACACTGCTTGAAGTGACTTTTTTAGGAATGTCTCATTTAGCATCAGGCAACCAGACAGGGATTGTTTGTGTGAAGCATTTACCTGGAAAATAAAACATGAATATTGGTTTGAAAAAATACTTGTTAAAGAAAACCTGTCAAATATTCAAACAATAATGTAAATGCAAAATTGTATACTTACAAGGTTGCCATATTTTGTGAGAACAGTCAACATTGTTTTTGCAAAGTTGACAGATTTTGTGAATGGCAGGGCCTGGCTAACTAACTGTTCAATCAACTGTGTGAACAGTTCTTCATTCATGTCAGGCTGCAAAAAAAGTAACAAAACCGACATGTTACATATAACATGATATTTTTTGACTGTAAAATGCGACTTGCCACACAAAAACATCTGCCAACCTCGGAATCCAGCAAGCTGTGAATAATAGAAAGCAGAGTATCATTCCATGATATTTTCAGTGTCATCCTGGAAGGAAAAGAGGAGTCAGACAAAACTAAAAAATAAAAGTGGTGAAATGTTTTGTCTTACTGAAGCACAAAAAGCCTGTTGTGAGAATCAATGCAGCCTTCTATCAGTTTGTTCAGGAGCTCAGCTTGTGCACTCCCTGAAAGAACGAATGTCTCAAATTAAAAGACACTTCCCAATTCACAACAGCATCTCTTCCATTTTTTTAAGGCTCACCTAAGTTCTCTTGCTCTAAAAGTGGGCCAATCAGACCGTGGCACATTGACCTGGTGTAACGGCTGCAGAATGACATCACAACACTCACCAGGCATCTGGACGCCGGCTCGAAGAGGGCCAGCACCTGTAGACAGCAACTTCTGTAAAACCATGCACTTCATTGCACAGCGACCCGAAGAAGTGAGTTGTGACACATACATACCCTCGGCAGCAGTAGATTTTTGATGAGCGTCAATGCTGTGCTGAAGCTGAGGTCGGGCGACAGAGCCAATATGCAGTTGCAAAGCTGCGGCAGAGCGTGCTCTGCTAAGTCGGACAAACGCAATTCGCCACACATTACTTGCACCTTGTACACAAAAGAACAACATGTGGCATTTGCTGTGTCAAAAAGGCTCCAAAAAGGTACTGTGGCTGGTGTTTTCCTGTGTCACTGCTTTGTGTGAAAGGTACCAACACGGAATGGGGGCTGAGGGCTGGGGGCATATTTCACATTGAGCATCTTTCAACAAGGTTGGCCACATCAGACAGGTAATCCGTAGATCCAGCAATTAGAAGGAACAAATATTTGAGCACAAATGGTGGTGAAACACATGTGGACAGATAATCTAACGATGCCTACAGCAGTGTTTTTCAAACTTTTTTGAGCCAAGGCACACTTCTTTCATTGGAAAAATCTCGCGGCACACCACTAGCTGAAAATGTGAAAAAAAAAAACCGCTTATTTGAATAATTAATGTGTTATATTGTTACTATAACCGTTTTTAGCATTGAAGAATGACATTATAACAGCTTGAATTGGAATCAAATGAACACAAAGAAAAAAGTATTTTCTCATCTTTCATATTTATTGTTTCACCGTCGTCCTGCATTCATTCATGCCTCACAAATTCGCTTGTCTCTCGTCGAAACACAAGGCAATTGGCTAGCTGTTGCTGCTCCCTAGCGGTATGGGAGGGTACTACACGATTACTTTCTGGGCGATACACTGCACAGGCATACAAATTGGATATTTTCCCGCGGCACACCTGACAACGTCTTGCGGCACACTGGTGTGCCGCGGCACAAGGGTTGAAAAACACTGGCCTACAGCATATAAAGCTACCATTTGCCATTTTGATGTTCAGAACAAAAGGTACGGTTTTAAAGTGAACCCTCAAAATAACCCATTTTGGAAGTAGTATCATTTGCTTTGCAGACGGGGCACGGCAGCGGTGCAAAGGGTAATAGTGGAAAGCTGGGACCAGGGCTTGAAGTTTAACACCTGAGACTCACTTCTCTTGCCCTGTTGCGTTGAACACAATTTTTGCTGTCCTACAAGGATATGACTGCCGAAAGCCATCGCAGCTGTGTGAAAAACATATATGGGGTGTTCACACGGCACACATTTGCATCAGTGCTGCACTGACGTATTTTGTTGCGATATATCTTTTTAAAACATACACTTTATTAATTTGTTTAACTCAAGCAACTACAGGCACGTCCTCTCGGTCTCCGTGCTTCTGCTCGAGAGGTGTTCAATGACCGCCCCCGAAAACGTAAATCAACGATGACTTCAATGACACTCAGAAAAGCAAACATAATGCGCCAAACAGAAAAACAAGAGAGGAAATCACAAAATAAATTCTATGAGGGGGTTGTGAACACACAACAGAGGAACAAACTACACAAACAACTCCGAGACAGTCCCGTCTCCTACAAAAGGAAAGATGACAGAAGTACAACAGAGCACGAAAGCAACGCATTCTAGCCGTATGTAATCAACTCTTCTCATGCGTAGCGAGTCTACTCCTGTAGCGTTCACACGTACCATTTTACATCGGTGCTGCCCCGCAAACGAGCATTTACTCCGGAGCAAATTTTTAAACCACCTCCTTGAGCAGGGTTAAATTTGCTCCGGTTTAAGCTGTTTTCAGGGGCTACAGCGGTGTAACTTTGTACGTGTGAACGCTCTACGGGGGCAGCCCCGGTGCTGCACCGGAGCAAAAGTTGCCGTGTGAACACCCCTATACAGACATGGCAATGTTTCGCTTTGCTGGGTTGAAAGGCACAGGCAGATAAATGCCAGAGCTACTCTTTGATCTCACATGTGGCAGCTTTCCATGTAAAATGGTTTCTAGTACAGTACATACTTGAGTGGCATTCCAGTTATTCAGCACTTCAAACACGTCAAGAGAGCGGTGGTCCCACTGTAAAAGGATAAAACACAGTCACAAAAAACTTACAGTGTAGACGAAGACAACCAAATGGGCTTCATACCTCGGTCTGACTTTGGAGTAATTCCTTGATTTCAAGAATAGACGCCTGAGTGAGCACATAAAAAGACAACACATCTGCTCAGTAGGAACTGGTGTTATGAAAATTAGTGGTTAGCAACGTACCAAAGACGGTGTCCAATTATCATGCTTCATCATTTACTGAAAGAACTTTGGGAAAACTGATGGATTTAAATGCATCCATCTTTACCTTCATGTGTTCAGGCAGAGGATCACGGGTGTCGCCCTGTTCTGCTGCATCCATTTCTGATTCTACTGCCATCTAGGAACAAAAGTCACAAGTCGGACTGAAACAATGAATTGAATAATTCAATCATTTTTTTCCAGATGGACTATTATCATCGCTGAGTCATGCGCAACTAGCAATACGGTGGCGCAAAGGCAATGAGGCACGAGGAAAGAGTGCATTGGAGACAGAGAATGTCCAAGGTTTAGAATCATTTCCTGCTGAAAATAATAATAATTAAAAAATGAAGATTCAAGTCCCAGTGTGATTACACTTTGATTATTTTCCATAATTGCGGAGCCCTAGTGTCTAATCTTCAAATTTCTCCATAATCGGAAAACGTGCATTGGAGTCAAGTTATTGTTACCACAGTATTTTTTTCAGGCAGAAGATTGTGGGAGTTTTCCGACGCTGAGATCTCACGTGAAGCATCCGTGTCCACTTCCTCTGCAATCTGTGAAAAGTGTTACAAGTTGTAACAACGTTGGTGGCTGCCATTGCAGCAGGAAGTGTTCACTCCTTTTTCTTTAACCAGTTGCAGAAAGAACCGTTAAAAAGATGACAGCTGAATGAACAAATTTGTCTCTTGTTTTTCTTTACCTTCATATTTTCGAGCAGAGGCTCGTGATCATGTGCTCGCCCAGCGGTGTGTTCATCCGTCCTCATTCGTTTCTTCTGCATCTGAATTTCTTCATCCTCATTATTTAGAGCATCAAAATGGCCCTTCCTTTTCTTGTGAGTTCCCGCCTCAGACAAAACAGGTGCAGTCTGAGGTTCCTCCGCTTGAAGGCCAGAGCACTGAGCCCACCCACCTGTCTCACCACCCACTCGCCGTGATAGTGCCGTTAGTCGCTGAGCGCACGCTGGGCTGTAAAGGGGTTCATCCATGGGACAGCCCAAGGTTCTTTCCAGTTGCTTCTTCCATGCGGTGACCCACGGGTCGGGATGGGGGTCCTGACCAAGACACAGGAGTAGACGGAGGACAGCAGCTTTGTGGAACCGCGAGTGGACCAGGTAGATGAACGTCAGCAAGTTTTGTTGGAACAGTGGTGGAAAGAGCCACACCAGAGGTTGACTGCATGTGAGGGAGAAAATGGTCGTGAGAAATTTGCAAAAACAACTGACACAATATTGCAATGGATAAATTTGAATTTCAGATATGCCACGAAAAAAACTACAAACACACACATGCAAACTAAAACAAAACACACAAAACATAAACGCTGCAAGTAAAAAAATGCTGCAAACGGCCAAACTCTGCAAACACTGGAATATCCATCCATCCATATTCTGAACTGCTTTATCCTCACAAGGGTCGCAGGTGTGATGGAGCCTACCCCAGCTGTTTTCGGGCAGTAGGTGGGGGACACCCTGAACCGGTTGCCAGCTCAGTGCAGGGCACACAGAGACGAACAACCATCCGTGCTCACACTCACACCAAGGGACAATTTAGAGTGTTCAGTCAGCCTGCCATACATGTTTTTGGAATGTGGGAGGAAACCGGAGTACCCGGAGAAAATCCACACAGGCACGGGGAGAACATGCACACTCCACACAGGATGGTCGGAGCTCGAATCGAACCCGGTACCTCTGCACTGTGAGGTCGACGCGCTAACCAGTCGCACCACAGGGGTGCCAACACCGTAATAATGCAAACAAAAACATAAACGCAGAAATACAGGGAAAAACACACAAACGAATGAAAAAAATTCTGCAATTACAGCAACATGTTGGAAGCAAACATTATAAACCACAAAACAAATGCAAAAGAAAAGAAAAAAACGCTGCAGAAATCCAAAACACACAAACTCGGAAATAACGGCAAGAAAAAAATGATTAAAGTTCACGCAACCCAATGAAAGTTTTCCAAACCACTAGGGGGCACCGCAGGACCAGTCCTGTGAGACCAGACCTAAGCGGGTTGCCTGATCAGTAGGGACTATAAATTGGCCCTCTTTTGGAGAAAATAAAGGAAAGTTTTACTTCACGTCTGGAAACACATAGACGTTGTCTTTTCCTATATTATGCTAAATCAGCATAGTTACATGGCGTGAACCGTGTTTTGTTCATAAAAGATTGTTAAATATCTAATTAATGCAATACATACAGTCGATGACATAAATAGACAAAAGACGGTGGAGAATACTGTACAAGTTCATGTGAGACGAAAAAATGGGGAGAATCTGGTACAGTACCTCTAATCGTGTCTTTGTTTGGATCATTCGAGCATTTCTTAGTTGCAGAGGTTTTGCTGTGCGTTTTTTTTTTGTTTACACGTTATTTTGTCTCTTTTGTTTACAACTTATTGTGCAGCATTTCTGCGTTTGCCCCTGTCAGCCACCGTAGTATTTATACTGAAGACGTGTACGGTATTGTATGTGCCGTTTGTGTTTACAGCACGGTCTTGAATACTAAAGCGAGGTTACATGGTTGTGACACTACAGACTTCATTATTTCGATTATGATTTTATCTATGGGAAATTTCGTTTTAAACATGGAGGTTGTGTAGCGCCAACAAACGCCAGTTGCGCGCATTTTTTCGCCTCCCTGCACAACTCTCCCACAACAACCTTCCGCCAAACAAAGTATTGTTTCCTTCATCGTCTCTTCGCCATTGAGAGCATATTTTGAAGCATGACAAAGCGAATGGACCAGTTGACTCGCTGCCACCAGCGAGGACTTACACGGTAAAGGGTGCCCCATCCATACCCGGGCAGCTGATTTCATCTCGACAAAGTGTTTCGATGAAGTCGGAGAGTGAGCTCCCGGGGCCGGCCCGCTGCTGCCGCCTTAAGACTTCCAGCGCTCTGTGGGCACCGGAAACTCCGGAGAACAGCGACCAAGCCAAAAGCTTCCACTGACCGTCAAAGCGACTCAGCAACTGGCCGGCGTTCATATCCAGGTGAACTCGACCACAGAGGTACTACAACTGCCCAATGCCCTTTGGCATTCGTTGGTAGTAGGCGAAGTTAACTTAAGGAACAGAATCTGCCGCCATCTACACTGCGCATGTGTACATCGTCTGCCACCGTGTGGACACTTCGTGGATAGGCCGTGGCGCTGCACTTCTGTCGTATTTGTTGAAATAAAAACACCACAATTACAACTCGTGTGGTCCATTCATCAAATATGTTTATATGTACATATTGTTACAGAACGAAATAATCCAATTGAACCCGAGATTTCATTTTGTTGAAACTCGGGACATGGGTTGTGCTTTCGAATCCTGATATGGTGACTTTTTTAAACTAAACATTTTGCTGTTGAAAATAGAATACTAATTGATTTAAATTGGCACACATGCACGCGCGCGCACACGCACACATTCCGATGAACTAAATTAAACTCTGACGACTCACTAATAAAAGAAGTGGTGTGATGGGGAGGTCAATAGAAAGTGATAACAGAGAATAGGAAGACTGCTCAAAAGGCATGGTGTTCAAAAGATGATCTCCTTTGAGATAAGGGTAGTTTTAAAACAATGGATGCAGTCCCGTCTCCTCTTTTACCAGCTTGAAAATAAAAGCAGCCCAAATAATGCATGATCACCAGTGGCTTGGTAGCATGGGCGTCATTAGGCCTATTTTAGGGAGGCTTCAGCCTCCCTAAAAATGTCTTTAGCCCCCCTAAATAATGTCATTGCATTATTTAAAAAAAAGTATTATTTATTTTTCCTGTACTTTTGCTAATATATTGCATCAAATTCAATGTAATGTGGCCATTTTAAATGATATTTCGATACCCTGCCATTATTGTGATGTTAAATCTCCCAGGTTTCCTGAACGCAACAGGTGTTGCTAGCATTTGACGTGTCTGTCACCATCGCCACATCAAATGCTAACGCAACAACTGACAGTTCATTGCCGAAAGTCAGGTTGAGTCGACAGCATGGATATTCGACAGTTTTTTAGAAAGGTAAATTAAGTATTCAATGCATCCATGCTGGTAAAACTAGTGACTATAGTCCGCTAAAATATCTCCAGTAACAGCAGAAACTGCACTCACTGTAACAAGTGTTCACTTTTGGATAAATTAATTTTACTTGAGGCTGTTCCCAAAATGCAATCGGAGCTTACAGTAAGTATTGGGCAGCAAACTTGTGTTTTTCCAAAGTGATGAAGCTTTTGCATCTCATTGTACTAACTTAAATTGCATATCGCGGCAGACATCTCAAAATACATAGTCTTCTGGGGGCTAAGCATATATTAATACATTTTGGTAGAGAGGAATATAGGCCTACTGTCATATAGGTTATGTTATCGGGCATCCTTCTAATTCCCTTGAGCAACCAAGATTGAACTTTTGAACTCTTTATAATTTCTATTATCTAGTCCAGTTAAAGTCCAGGGGAGGAAGCCCCATCATAGTAAAGAGGATACTAATGTGATGTGTGTAGTTCTTCATAGCCTCTTCATTTTGCTCTCAAAGTGCACGGAATTGATGGATTTTTAACAGAATGTAGAAAAAAATTCTCCCGGGGGCGGCATGCCCCCGGACCCCCCTAAAGGAGCTGTGTTCCCCTTGGGGCTAAGCCCCCCTTGTTCTTGAAACCTAGTGACGCCCCTGCTTGGTAGTAAAATGTGATAGAATAACTTCTCTGCGGTCAGGACACCATGAGTTCATCGAGGGAGAATACAAACTGTCTCAGAATTACACCATGGACGTTGAGATAGAAAGAGAAATCGGAGATTTTGACCTTGACATCTGAGTTTTAAACAATATTTAAAAATGTAATTTTCGTCAAAAACATCAGCAGTGACTATTACTACCATCTTATTTTAGTGGTATTAAACATTCTTGGTAAAGAGCTTTGATTTAACACATTCATCTATCCATTTTCTTCCGAGTATCCAGGGTCGTGTCGCAGGTACATATGCTATATTTAAACAGGCATAATGTTTAACTTTGTATAGCTTTAAAGTGGCTTACACTAATTACTTATATCGAGGACTGCCTTTGAACACTACCTACTATGCTACTTTATTATATTGATAGTCATGCTGGTACCTGAAGAGTTTGGAATTGTTTCAGGTGATACGACGTATATAATGCCTGAGAGCCATTGCAGAAGGGGAAATGAAGAAATTGCAGCATCCAATTCAAATGATCAGTAATGGAGAGCAGAACGTTTTCAGTGAGGCAAACTTTGAAATAAGGTTTATTTTCAATGTACGAGTACAACTTGTTTTAAAAGACAAAAAATCAAATTTTCAGTTATGCCAAAACGAGGTTAGAGTATCATCAGGGTACACCAAGGCAGGAATATTCAGGATTGGACATCAACCAAAGAGGGGCACAGTACACTTTTTATCTTTAGACAATTTAAAATGGTCCATCCACGTAACATTTAAAAACATTTCTCTGGTAAACTCAGTTATGAGCACTTAAATCTAACTAGAGAGGCAGAGAGAAAAATGTGCAAGGTGTCAATGTCTGCAATAAGGAAGGGGGAAAAAAGCAGCTGGAAGAAGTAGCCTTTGAATTTGTCGTTAGATTCATCCTATCCAGACAGTTTATCTGAGCAGTGTGCACCATTTATTTCAAGCTGTCCACTGCAGCAGAGTCAATTCAGGTTAGTTTCTCTCTGGTTGAGGGAAAGCAGGTCAGTCACATGACCTACTAAGTAACAACTGAGACTCGCCTACTCCGCCCCCCTCACCCCCCAAAAAACATCCAAGCGGGACAGTCAGTCGTATCATAACATAGCCACATCGTCGTGTGGTGACAATTCATTCTAGGACCAGTTTCCACATGGAGAAAATTGCGTGGGAAGGGAAAGGAGGCTCAGAAGCCATACCCCGCTATGAAAAAAGGAAAGTCAAAATTGTCACCATCATCATCATTATCATCATCATCATCATCCTCGTGTGTGTGTGTAAGAGTCATGGCTATGAAGAAATTGAGCAGACCATCGTAGTCTTCATCATCATCCTCTTCATCATCGTCCTCTTCATCATCATCGTCGTCGTCATCATCGTCATCATCTGTATTACACTAATGGGCAAAAAGAGAAGCGAAAGAGTACGTTCAGGTGGTGGCAACAGCGCACGGCATGTTCAGCAAAGCATACGTACCAGGAATGATCTGTGGTGTGTAGACCTGTCATGCCGGTAGAGGCACTCCGTCTCGAAGGGGCAGTATTGGTATCGGACATCGTAAGAGCAGCTTTGCTTACTACACATTGAAAAGCAAAGAAAATGTACATTTCAGTTCCTCACCAACCCATTCAGAATCGGGGTAGGGTGCGCTTATGAAATTCGGGCTCATTTTTATTTTGTTTTTCAGATTCCAATTTTTAAAACGAGAAATTGGCGATGGCTCGCTCCGTTCGATGGGAGACAGCAACACTGCCTCCTGGCGGACGGACGAGGGATGGTCTTTTAACATCCGAATAGCTGAGACCTGTGTGTGTGTGTGTGTGTGTGTGTGTGTGTGTGTGTGTGTGTGTGTGTGTGTGTGTGTGTAGATCTTAAAATGATGTGACGTTTGTGTGAAAAATGAATGGGTGTGTCTATGGATCCACAAACGCACATTCGACACGTCACACACAGAATTGAATATTTACAAATAAGTCATGAGACACAATAAAAAATAAATAAAAAAAAAGGGGGGGATTGCTGATGTATTTGTGGATCCGACAAACATGACACCCGTGGATGGACCCGTGTTACTAATTTTGACACAAATCTCTCCCCATACGTGACGACACCACAATGGTTTTGTGCATCGAGTACGATCGGAACTTGTGAGGTCTTCCTGGAGTCAGAAACGTTTAGTAATCTAGTGTTCCTCTCCAAGAATTTGAAAAACGTTGTCACTGTTGCACTCAAGCCATACGTACACGCATTTGATTGTAGGGTATTAGTATTGATTGTGCAAAGTACGGTAATTTATTTTTACAAGTAATATTATTGTCCTTCTCCCCCTAAAGTCAGCTGTTGCAATGATTGAAGAACATAGCGTTTGAGCTTTGCGTTCTTGATTCAAAGTCATGTATCAATCTTTATACATCATTGACGTACTATTCATTCATGCGCATGGTAATGTGTGTAACAATGAAGTGCATCTATCACACAACAAAATATGTCCGACATGCGTGGCAACGACGCTAACGTTTGTGCAGTAATGCTAACATGATGTCATCATTTAGTTAGCGGTTTGATTTACTTACAGTTCTGGCCTCTCCAGCAGGTTTGATTGTAGATATTGTGCCAGTTTTAAAGGGATTCTCACCTGCCTGCAAATCAACTTTTTTTGTTTTGTTTGCTGATAAGATGAATAAATGGGGTGTGTACGAAGGCTTTCTTCAGGTACTGGTCATTATTTTGCCATTTTTTAGCGCATGCTTGTTTGTTGGGGCAAAAACCGTCTGAGTGGCTGCCATCCTCAGGTTCAACACCGCACTGCATGTGAATTTGGCTTTCTGTTTTCTGGATTTGACTTGCAGGGACTCCTCACGTCACTTCTAGAATCTTGACCTAATTGCTCTGCCACTGTGGGCTCAGCCTCATACACGACTCCATCGCGAGTTGGAGTTGGAATAGTAGCATTTGTGAATATTTTTGTATCAATTTTCAGGTTTGTGATGTATTAGCATAGTATTTGGTTAATTGATTTGGCACATTTTATGTTCAAACTGATAAACATTGTTTTTAGCAAATAACCATTAAACTTAAAGCTGGGACAGGTGCCAAAAAAGGCTGAGAACATTGAAGAATGCTCATCAAACACCTGTCTGGAACATCCCACAGGTGAACAAGCTAAACAGATGGATGCCAAGATTGGTCCATAAAAAGGAGCTTCCCGGAATCGTTCAAAGACGGGGCTCCGTTCACCTCTTTCTGAACAACCGGCTGAGAAAATAGTCAAATCATGTTCCTCAATGTACTATTGGAAGGAATTTGGGGATTTCATCATCCGAGCTCATTTAAGATGGACTGATGCAAAGTGGAAAAGTGTTCTGTGGTCTGCCTAGTCCAATTTTTTTTTAATTGTTTTCGGAAATTGCGGGCATCAAGTCCTCAGGGACAAAGAGGAAAACAACCATAGGGACTGTTCTGGATAAAAAGTTCAAAAGCCAGCATTTGTGTTAGTGCTAATGGCGTGGCTAATTTAATGTATTTGTGAAGGCACCATTAATGCTGAAACGTCCGTACAGGTTTTGGAGAAACATATGCTGCCATCCAAGCGGCATCTTTTTCATGGACGACCCTGATTTTTTTCAGCAAATCACATTCTGCATGTGTTAGAACAGCGTGACTTGGTTGTAAAAGAGGGCGGGTACTAGACTGGTCTGCCTGTAGTGCAGACAAGTCTCCCATTGTAAACGTGGGACGCATTATGGAACGTAAAATACGACAACAGAGACCCTGGACTGTTGCTGAAGCTGTACGTCAAGCAAGAATTGGACACAATTCCACCTACAAAAGCTTCGACAATTAGTATCCGCAGTTCACAACCGTTTATCGAATGCTGTTCAAATAAAAGGTGATGTAACAGCAGTAAAAACAATAACGTTTAACAGTTTGAACATAATATATCCCATCTTTGTAGTGTACTCAATTAAATCTAGGTTCAAGATGATTTGAAAATTATTGTATTGTTTTTATTTATGTTTAACACAATACCCCAACTTCATTGGAATTGGGTTTGTATTTGGGTAATAGTTTAGTCTTGGGTAGTATTGTTGAGACGAGACTCTGCTCAATCATCTCCGCCCTCGCAAACAGATGGTCCTCCAGGAAACGCCCTTTGAGCACCGTTTTCAAATATTCGTGAGGGGTGCAAGGTCCTAGTCAGGGGTTGGGGGCAGGGTGAGAACCCCTTTAAGGTTTAATACCAATCCACTTTGGTACTGGCCAAAGTTTATCAGGCAGTCCTTGAGAAATGACCGCTCATTTCGCGGGTACACTTGTCAGGCGTCCTGATAGCTGCTTGAGAAACTGGGCATGTGTTCAGTCTGCAGGGGCGGGACAGGGGTGGACTGAGGACCCAATCGTTTTCTTGAATTGGGCTGAGCTGGTGCTTAGAGAACAAGAATGCTCAGAAATGGCTGAATGGAGGAAAACACCCTTTGGGGGGGATGGGGTGCTTCGGGTGAGTAACTAGCATTTCAACATGGCTAAGAGTTGATTTTACATGACACAGATCCTTTTTAACTCATTTGATTTGCAAAAGCACCATCATTGAGTGCCAAAATGGAAAATACGCTTTTGGTGTTTTTTAATTTCAAAAAAAGAAAACAACTCTTGGAAATGAGAAATTTACAAATGTTCAACTGGTGTTTACTAATGAAAGATAAAATGTAGAAATTAACTTTTTTTTTCCCTGAAGAAAGAAGAGGATTGAAGCTTTCTTTTGGTAGGGTCCATGCTTATATTGCTCGAGAACTAAATTTTCTGTTGGCCTTCAAAAATTTGTCAAAGTGGCTGGCACCGGTTCTCCCAATTGGAAAAACATGACTTGTAAGAAAAGAGGTCAATTTAAAATTGCACACAACAGAAAACTATTTTCATGTCGAGAAACAATTGTGGGCTATTTGTAGGTGAGATTTTAGCGAATGGGAAGAAGTAACACCAGAACCACAGTAGCATTTTTGCCTATCGAGCAGGCGTAGGAATAAGGAACATTCACAGGCAAAGTTTGGGATTTATCAATTTGGATTTGTGAGAATGTGCTGGAATTTATGCACAACTCCAACCATTCGTCATGCGCGCGCGCGCGCACACACACACACACACACACACACACACACACACACACACACACACACAAAGCCTGAAACTATAGATACAACGCCTATCCACCTACGCTCCATGAGCCTTTGCGTGAGTTATGTGCGAGACTTTCATATGAAGCCAAACCTGAGGTTTGTTTTCTATGACAAATCCGGACAATGTCAGAAAGTCAGAAGAGAAAGCAATTCAATGCCTCTTTCTCATCACGTAGCGGGGTAGGAGAGGATGATGATCGCTACTTTCCAAACACTGTCACTTCAGACATGAGGCAATGAGCCATTGCACGTCGCGCTGTGTCATAAAACCGCAATCAATCTTCAAAGTTTATGTGAACATCTCTCTCTACTTACGTCAACCGCAGCAAATATTAGAACGCTTGGCCCCAATATTAAAAATTTTATCAGCATATCATCTTCCCCGCTCGCTAATCTTACTGACAAAAACGCTTACTGTCCATAAAATATAGCGGCGATAGCGCTTACAATTTCAGAGGTTGGCTAATTGGACTGTCGCGTCTCTCAACCAACATCTGATGTCCGTGTGACACTTGGCATCTGGCGAATCTTCGCAAAAGTCTCACAGAACTTCCACCTTGTGATGAAAGTTATTTAATAGTCACTGTTCAAGGTCTTCATGAAAGAAAGGCTAAATTGAAAGCACACACATACTGTAGCTCAGGCGTGCCCAACCAGTCGATCACGGTTGACCGGCAGTCCGCGGAGCGTTACCAAGTCGACCGCGAGGGTGTCGGAAAAAAAATGTGTACTTGTTATTAATATTGTAAATTGCTCTGTTAGTGCACAGTGCACAGTTACAGAAACAGTTTCATTTTCTCACAGACCCCCACCAAAAAAAAAAGTCACCTTTAACCTTCGGTGGCGCATGACCTGCATGACAGGAAGTTGTTAGCAGGTCAGCATGCGATCAGACCTATTGCAATATATCTTTTTATTATCATTATTATTCTCCTACAAAATTTGTTTCATCCGCAATTCACCGATGGCACTGGCAAAGAAGAGGAATCTGGAGCGCCAGGATAAGCATTTTAAAACGGTCCAAGCAAGCTACGGTGTGCCGTTTTTGCACTGAACACGCTACGAAAGTGCGCCCCTGCCTTTGCTTCAGGTCTCCCACTCAGGTAGGCAGTGATTTCCTGTTCACAAATTCAGTCTCGTCTTGTATCTACTTTATTTTTCATGCATGTTAGGGTCCATTATGGCTGTTGCTCATCATGGCATCCGTGCACGCATGTGTGTGCACGTGCAGTAACTGGTTGATTGCAGGAGGTTGGCTGCTTGAAGAGTAGCTCTTGGGTCAAAAAAGGCTGGCTTCTTTTTTGACATCAACAACACGTTTTTTTCGGATTTTTCAATCACAAACTTACACGAACGCTATTACGTTGTGATTGGTTGGTTGAAGGCGCAGAGGCATAACTCGGGCCTCCCAGAGCAAAGTCTGCTCACATTACTCGCGGCAAGGCTAAAAATAGTTTAGCTTTCAGATTCACACAAAACACAATGGCAGAATTGAATGACCGAAATTGTGTTTCCTGTAATGTCTTATTTCGTGGATCCGATCAATGACGTCATTGACCGATCGGCAAATTATGACATGAGAGCAGATAACAGATTTTGCATCAAATGCTAACTATTGGCCAATCCGATCAATATTAATGTGCATATTACAGGTGTCCACATATTTGATGAATACGGATTAGTTACTAAGGCACACTCTAAATTTCAGTCGTACAAATGCATTTCGAAGCTCTTCGACGCACTTCAATAAATGAGGCCCTCGCGTTGTTTAAAACTGATTGGTAGGCTGTCAGCATCAAATGACTGCAAATTTTTGC